AGCACAACATATAAATAAATTAAATAAAGGTCTATTGACAACTAAAAAAGCATTTTTAAAAAATTTGGGGCTGGGGATGTGGCTCAAGTGGTAGCACGCTCGCCTGGCATGCGTGCGGCCCGGGTTCGATCCTCAGCACCACATACAAAGAAACATGTTGTGTCCACCAAGAACTAATAAATAAATATTAAAAAAAATAAAAATAAAAAATAAATAAATAAAAAGGGCTGGGGAATGTAACTCAATGATAGTGTCCCTAGGTTCAATCCCAGTACCCCTCACCCAAAAAAGTCATTCCTAATAAACAATAGCAGGTTCTCTTTATTTAGCATCCCTTGTGCCAGGCCCTGTGCTCTGAAGTGGGTATTTTGCACTTTTTTTTTTTTTTTAAGCGCGAGAGAGAGAGAGACAGAGAGACTTTTAATATTTATTTTTTAGTTATTGGCGGACATAACATCTTTGTTTTTGTATGTGGTGGTGAGGATCGAACCCTGGCTGCACGCATGCCAGGCGAGTTCGCTACCACTTGAGCCACATCCTCAGCCCTATTTTGCACTCTTGTAAGCTTTGTTCCTACCCCAACATATAAGCAGATGAGAGAAACAGGTCACAGCTAGGAAGTGGGAGGGGGGCTGGATCTGTTCTGGTTGATGCAGAAACACATCTTGACTCCTTGCCTCATCTGCAGCCATGCTGCAGCGGGCACCTCTCTGGGGTGCAGCTTCCTCAGGAGGCATCTCTCTGGGGTGCAGCCTCCTCCGGAGGCATCCCTCTGGGCTCCTCTGATAGCGAAGCCCTGGCCCTCTGTCCAAGCCCTTAATGTTGCACTCACATTCTGGGGTTCCTTCAGCACTTTGTTCTCTATATGAACTGAACCCCAGGAGCTGCCTGAGACTTCTCAGGGTGGAGGTTGAAACTGTTTTAATGATAATACAAAAATACATTCTGTAATGTGCTGGCTGACCTTCCCATAGATGGTGCAGAATTAGTGGGAAAGAAACTGCCAAAGCCAGTGCTGGCCATTGTTTTTGTGTCACACAGCATACACACACAAGCCAGTATCAGTAAAAGGCAGTAAATGTTATTAGCCAGGTGGGTGGTGCATGTCTATAATCTCAGCAACTTGGGAGACTGAGGAAGATTGCAAGTTCAAGGCCAGCCTAGCAATTTAATGAGACCCTGTATCAAAATTGTAAAAAGGATTGGGGATATATAGTTCATATAGCCCTGGGTTTAATGCCCAGTATCTCCCTCCCCCCAACAAAAAAGGAAAAACAAAAACTGACCAGCTGTGGGTGTAGCTCCATGGTAGAGTATTTGCCTGAGAGGTCCTGGGTTCCATCCCCAGCACCACACAGAAAAAAAGTTATTCAGTGGCACTTCTTTGGACATGAACAAAGTAAGCCTGCTCCTTCAAAAAGACAGTGGATTTGGTTTTGTATATGTTTTTTTTTTTTTAATATTTATTTTTTGGTGTAAATGGACACAACACAATGCATTTTATTTTTATGTGGTGCTGAGGATTGAACCTGGGTCCCGCCTGTGCTAGGCAAGCACTCTACCACTGAGCCACAATCCCAGCCCCAAGTTTTTTTATATGTTGCCAGTAATAAGTTTATTATTATTTCCAGTAATAAAATTTGAGATATCAAATGAAAATCAGATTTTGGAAACATATCTAACACTGTGAACTTGATAGTTTCTTGATATTTATTTTATTATTACTTTTTGGTGCTGGGAATCATGCAGGGCCTTGCACATGCAAGTCAAGCACTCTACCACTAAACTACATCCCAGCCTATTTCATGATATTTAAAGACTTTTCTGATAATATTGGTGGTGATGCTAATAGTATGATTGATTGGTTGATTATTTCTGGTTCCTCATTTTGTATTTCTAATATAGTATTCATAGATAATAGCTCAAAAAAACCAAAATCTATTTGTGGTCCTCAGTAATCAAATGTAAAGGAGTCCCGAGACCAGAAAATCTGAGAAACACTGCTTTGGCAGACTCTGTGGAACTGGAATTTCAGAACATCCCTTTGGGCCCTGTCTTTTCTGTCATCTCTCTGCCTCATCCCCTGTTGCCTATCCTCAGGCTCTAGGAGAGCACACATACATGGAGAGCCAGCCAGGTTGACTATCACAATGGGGCAGGAGCATCAGAGTACCCGCCCCACTCCTGGACTTTGCCTCCATAATGGCTTGGCAGTAAATCTGCTGGTGGTATTCTGCAAGGGGACAGATCACAGGTGCATGGCTGGTACCCATGGTTGCAATGTATAGGACATTTTCAAGTGAGAATAGTTTTCCCTCAGATTCTATTGTAGTTGCTGTAGCTAGCAGGTCTGTATCCTGCTGCCACCCTCTCAGGATCCTGCCATGGCGGGCAGGCTGTTGCACATTGGCCTAGCTTTGGCCTTGGATTCATTGCACTGCTCTCTGAAGTGAATGGAGGAGGATGCCAGAGTCAGTGCCCAGTGCCCTGAGGTCTTGTACTTGGCTCCTATCTGGGAAGCAGGAGACCCAGAGGAGAGCAGCTGAGCTCAGCACATCATGAGGTGTCCCCTCCCTCCTCTGCCTGTCTCCAGAGTCAGAACTGCCCTTTACTGACCTGTCTGGAACCATACTCTATTCAAAGTATAGTTATGTGCTACCTAACAAACAAATGTGTGGTCAACAATGGACTGCATGCATATATGAGGCAGGTCCCCTCAGATTATATTGTCTGGTGGTGTCATTGCCATCTTAGCTTGTGTAAGCACTGTTTCTCAGAATGCAACTTCATTATTAAGTACAGTTCAGTGCTTTTAATATGTTCACATTGTGCATCCATCCCCATGATCTAATTTTATGTTTTTATCCACTCAACAACAGCCCCCCTTCTGTATGGAATGGTCCACTAGGACCAAGAGGCAGGTGTCCTAGTTTCAGTTCACAGGAAGTTGGAGGCTCTGACCTGCCCAAGGTCTTGGATTTGAAGTCAGGTTTATCTGGTTCCAGCATGCCATTTCTTTCTGTCCTCACCATTTTCCCATTAATAGGGCCTGGCATAGGGTCCATCCTTTCCCCTGTGGGAGTTGGAGGGGGAGGTAAGGTTTCAGGTTTTGGTGCCATGCTGACCCCATTTTAGAAGACTGACAATGTACTCTTTTTTTTTTAATTTTTAATTTTTATTTTAATTTTTTAGTTGTTGATCAACCTTTACTTTTATTATTTATATGTGGTGCTGAGAATGGAACCTAGTGCCTCACACTTGCTAGGCAAGTACACTATCACTTAGCCACAGCCACAGCCCCTGTACTATCTTCTTTTAAATATCTTTTTTTGTGAATGGAACAGTACCTTTATTCATTCACTCGTTTGTTTGTTTGTTTGTTTTTATGTGGTATAGTGCTGAGGATCAATGGAACCCAGTGCCTCAAATGTGCTAGGCAAGCCCTCTACCACTGAACCACAACCGCAGCCCTCAGACTGTGCACTTTCCTTGAAGCTAAGTCACATTCCATGTGGCCTGGGATGGGAGTGCAGTAGAGCAGTTTTTATTGGTTTCATGGCCCATCATCTACCCTAAAATCTACTGCAGGCATCTCAAAATATCTTTTCCATCCTCACTCTGGGAAAATCTCCAACTGGCTGCTCCCTGGAGAAGCAGCAGGAACCTCTGTGAGTCCATAAGACCAGGTGCCAGGCTGAGTGAAGGTGAAGTGTGCTGCATTCCCTGGCAGAACTGCATGAAGGGGCAAGGGAAGTGAGGCCTGGGCTCCAGTGCTGCAGTACAGAGCAGGTTTTCATTATGAGATGGACCCTGCACTGAGCAGGCCCCAAGGCCCTCTGTGCTGCTTAACCAGCCTCACAGGCAGATGGCATTTAGAATCCAGATGTCCTCAGTAGGGGGTTGTGGGATGTGAGGGTGGCTTTGCAGAATAGTGCTTGACCCTGTCTGTGTCTGGGAGCAGTGGGTAGGGTGAGAATTGTGTCTTGCCCCTGGGAAGTTCCCAGCCCCATCAGGTCACACACCTTTGGGAGGATGGATTGCAGCTGCAGTGGGATAAAGACAGGTACCCCTTTTTTCAGGTGTCTTTAATAACTTCCTATAGAAAGGCATGGTGGGTGCCAGGCTGTTGGTCATCCGCACAGGGGCCAATGGGTCCCTGGTGACCGGTTCTATCCCCCAGTGGACCAGGGGCATGAGTGGGTCCAGCCTCCCTCTCTTGGACACATCACCCCCTCTTTCCCCTGAGGGCTCCCCTAAGTTTGTCCCACTTCCCCCATACTTCACTAAATTCCCATTCTAAGGGACTTACTTATTAATGCCACTGATAGGGATTCTAATGAACAGCTCAGAGAAGACAGGCTCATGCATGTCTTGGAGTTCCCACAGTGCCTGCTCTTGTGCCTAAGACACTCTCCCTTCTTGAGTCTGGAGCCTTCTGACTCAACAGCTGCTTTTCTGCTCTGGCAAAGGCCAGGACCATTCCTTTTGGGATGGGCTTCTTAATAAAAATGCCATCAAGGAGACAATGAGCTCCATGGTCAGTTTGATCTATGAGGCCCCCATAGCCAGTAACCCAGGCCTCCCCCTACACTTTATGGATATTACCCATACGTCTTTAGCTTCTGGGAAGCACCTCTGCCCCCTTGAACCACCCCTCAGGGCTGAGCAGTAGTACTCCCAGCATCCTCAACACTGTGTCTGAAAATGGGTAGGAGCAGGAATTTAAGGCTCAGAAGAAATCCTTGAGGGCATCTGACACTGATTGGGAGGCTGTGTGACCCTGGAGACTGAGCTTTGTTGGATTTCTTGATAAAATGCAGATGCTGAAGGGCTGGCCTGTGGGCTGCTCTGAGGGTTAATACTTGTGCAGGGAATGTCACCTGATTGAAGACATCAGAATTGTTCCTTCTCCATGGCCTTACTTAAGACCACCTCTTGGGCTTCTGCAGCCCCAAGAGTCTGGGAAAAGATAAATGCTCATGGAGCATGTGCCCTTGCAGGGCTCTCTCAGGACGCCTGTCTCATCCTACACTGGGTATGTGAAGCTACACCTCACTGGACCCTTTAATAGGTGAGCCAGCATTGCTACTTGAGTTCAGTAAAGAATGTTCCTTGTTTCCTGTGCTTTAGCTGAGACTATATCATCTGCCTGAAGTCTGTGGGGAGTCCAGATGCCAGATGAGCTCATGAGCCCTGGGGTCTGAGTTTTAACATGGTTTTATATTGGAAGGCACTTGGGGCATTGGTATTTGATTTTGAGAGTTCATGCCACTGTCCAGATACTTCTCTCCTTATGAGGGATCTGCTCCATGTTCTCTGCTGCAGTTTGGGAAGGTAGCTGAATGGATATGGGTGTGAAGGGCTGGGCAGCAGTGTACAGCAGGCAGGGCTATGGAGAGGAGACATTGAATAGTACCAGATCCCTGCAGCTACGTGGGTGTAGGGTCCAACTTCTCTGCTTACCATGTTTCTAAATTTTAGCCACCTTGTGGATATAAAATCATATTTCAGTGTGGTTTTGATGTATGTATGTGTGAGATGCTGGCAGTGGAAGCCAGGACCTTGCATGTGCTAGGCAAGTGCTCTACCACACCACTAAGCTACAACCACAGCCTGAAGGAGCATTTTCATTCTTCAAAGTTTGTTTTTAAACGGAGGTCTCAGTGTTGCCGAGGCTGTCCTCCCAACTCCAAGGCTCCAGTATCCTCTTTGCTCAGCCTCCCTAGAAGCTGGGACTTTAGGTGCACCATGCTGGGCTTTGGTTTTGATTTTTATTTCCATTGTGAAAAAATATTGAGCCTGCCATTTGCACTGTGTATGCTGTTGTAGCATACGATGAATTTTTTTCCTTGTTTGTACTATTACTCTCATTTGCAAAAAGAAAGTCTCATTTCAGAATGCTATTAATGGTTTGTCGTTTATAATGCTAAGTAAGAGTGAAGGCAAGGAGACCTGGCTTCCCTGCTTTTCTCCTAATACCTAAGCAGTAGGTGCTCAGGGAAGTTGGTGAAAGAAATTAGGCAAAGTGTTTAACTTGACTGATTCTGTCTTTCCTTCCTGGCTCCAAAAAAGTCCGGAGACTAGGCAGACCCATATCCCATCATCCTGACTCTTTTCACAGTCATTGCATGGGTAATGTATTTGTCAAGACTGGTGGGGGAAAAAAAAAAAGACTGGTGGGAGGGGTGGTATGCAGAGGACCCAGCAGCCACAGGACTTGGGGACAGAAATCAGACCTGTGAGGTCGGGCAGGGCAAGAGTGTGTAGTGATTAGGCTTATGGGTGGCACAATGAGTGGGGATGTGCCCAAGCCTGGCCCAGCAGCTCTCACAGGCTAAGTGTGCTGCTTCTTCCTTGAACAGCTCTCCAGAGCCCTGTCCATCCTGGCCAGCCACTGAGGACCCACTTCCTTTCTCTGAGTACCAGGGGTTTGAGGTAAGAAATCTCCTGGAATTCTTTCCCTTGGATCTGGCAGCCTCTGGTGGTGATCAGCCCCTCCATGGATGCCTGTAAGTAAGGGGAGGACTAGGTGACTGCTCTTCTGTGGAGCCCTGGGTCAGCTTCCCAGGACTTCTGTCCTTGCCTGAGTGACTAGAAAGGTACAGAGAATGGCAGCTCTAAGCTACTGGTCCCCAGGGTAAGGTGGGACCTCCCCTGTGATGAGCAGTCCAGTGATTTGAGTTCTCCAAGGCACCAGCCCCAGCCTACTAACCCTGCCTCCAGAGCTGGGAGCTATGCATGAAGGGAATGTGACAGCTTGGGCACCTGAGCCAAAAGCAAGAGACCCTGTGAAAAGAGGGCCTGTGTGCTAGGGCTCAACTAGATACCTCTGAGGACAGTGACACATCTTGTGCAATGGCCCTCAACACAGTCCTGAACCTGAGTGGAAAGCAGGTTGACTGGGAGCTGATTTTGTGTCTGGTTTTCCCTCCAGGTCCAGAAGCAGCAAAGATGTCTAATGAGCCACCCCCTCCTTATCCTGGGGGACCTACAGCCCCACTTCTGGAGGAGAAGAGTGGAGCCCCACCCACCCCAGGTAAGAATCCCCCCTCCCCAGATGCAATTGGCACCTCTACACCATTTGTTCTCCAGGATCACCCTGTGTCCCAAAGCAGTGATATCTGGCATGGCCCATGTGCTGACCACCTGAGCCTCCACTTTCTGCTTCTGTCTAGGCCGTACCTCCCCAGCTGTGATGCAGCCCCCACCAGGCATGCCACTGCCCCCTGCAGACATTGGCCCCCCACCGTACGAGCCACCAGGTCATCCAATACCTCAACCTGGCTTTGTCCCCCCCCACATGAGTGCGGATGGCACCTACATGCCTCCAGGTGAGTTTGGAAGGAGTGTTGGGATCATTAGAGCAACCACTGTCCATCCTTCACTGTAGGCAGTTGGTGATGGGCCAGACTGTGGATGTGAGACAGGGTAGCAGGGCCTCTTGCTGGGTTTGTCAGGTTAGAAGACAGGCACTCAGGGAAGGCCCCTCAGTTACAGTGGCTCCTAATGACTGAGTGCTGTAGGACTTCTTCCTACCAGGGACTTGGCTCCTAGTAGATGTCTGGATCTCTGCCTATCTGCAGCTCTCCACAGGGCCAAGGAAGGGCCTATGGCTCTTGTACAGGTTGCCAGGTAAGGTGGGATGACCCTCAACACACCAGGGAAAGCCATGTATGCAGGAGAGGGGTAGGAGAGAGGTGAGGCTTTTCCTACTGTGGTAGGGCCCTCATCCCTGCTGATTCTGGCTGCCTAGTCCCTTCATGCTAGAGGTGGGAGAGCAAAGGGAAGTCAGGTCCATGTTCCTGGCTCTCTATCACATTTATCCTGGTCCCATAGTGTGGGGACTAGAAAGGACTAGGAGAATATGGTTGCTTGAAACAGAGCCCCAACCACAAGTCTTCACTGGTACTCTGTGGCCCCAGGGTACAGGAAGCTTTAGGCTGCACTTGGTTGCTGGGTCCCAGGTTTTGTGCTCATGCCACTAGGGCAGGTGGCCAGCCAATGAATGACATAACCTCTCTGTTGTCTTCTGTGCTACTCCAGGTTTCTACCCGCCTCCAGGCCCTCACCCACCCATGGGCTACTACCCACCTGGACCCTACCCACCAGGGCCCTACCCTGGCCCTGGAGGCCACACAGCCACCGTCCTGGTTCCTTCAGGGGCTGCCACCACAGTGACAGTGCTGCAGGGAGAGATCTTTGAAGGCGCACCAGTGCAGACTGTGTGTCCCCACTGCCAGCAGGCCATCACCACCAAGATCTCTTATGAGATTGGCCTGATGAACTTCGTGCTGGGTTTCTTCTGCTGCTTCATGGGGTAGGTGTGGGGTGTTCGCAGGGTTGGACCTCCAGGGCTCTGCAGACTGCCTCTGCCTCTTCTCTTCAGGCATCAGCCTTTTTCTCCCTGTCTCTGATTCAGGTGTGATCTGGGCTGCTGCTTGATCCCCTGCCTCATCAATGACTTCAAGGATGTGACACACACGTGCCCCAGCTGCAAAGCCTACATCTACACGTACAAGCGCTTGTGCTAACAGAGCTGAACTCGGACTCCCCAGCCTGTCAGTGGCCCCCTCCCCATGCTTCGCTCCCTGTGCTCGGTGGTTGCTTCTCCTCCACTTGGGGTTGGAAGCTAGGCCACCCTCCCCTGGAAGTCCTGTCCTCTTCTCCTTGCCCTACTCTGAGCATCTGACTCTTCCAGCAAAAATTCTGTTGGCTTTAAGGCCAAGGGCCAGTGGATGGCAGGGGAGTAGCACTGAGCTTGTGTTTTGCTGGTTTGCTTGGTGTTTTTGATCCGGAAGATAAGCTGGAAAGGGGTCCTTATTTTTCCATTTCCGTCCAAGGTCCAGGCTCGGTCCTGACTCTCCATGGGGCCATAAGCTGCCAAAGTAGGTCCCAGCCTCAGGTCCTGCAGTAGAGGCTGTACCTGGAGCCACAGTTGTTCCTGCTAGGCTGACAGTAGGGCATCATCTGGACCCAAGCAGAACAGGGTCATAAGGCCTGGGTTTGGTGTAGGGTACACTGCACCTCTAGGGTGCCAGAGGTGGGGCATGCCAGAGTTAATGATCGCCAACTCTGGCCCTCAGCACTCAGGTATGGAAACCCAGGACATCTCTCTGTCCAAGTGCCCAAGAACCCCCTGGTACAAGGTAGGGAGGATGCTGGGTAAGTCATGGCCCTGTTAACCAAGAGTGACTCATCCCCACTGTACCCCCTTTGAGTTGATGTGCAGAGATCCCCTTTCTGGCCACACCTCTGTGAACCCCTATATTTTCTGGGGCCAGAAGGAATGCCCATGAACCTAGCCCGTCCTGTCTACCCTGTGTCCTCACTGTGTGTGGGTGCAACCTTGTCCAATAGCTGCTATGTCCCAGCTGAAACAGATGGCAGATAAAAGGGCCCCCCCCCCTTAGACGCACTGGGATTTACAACACCTTCACCCTTGGTTCTCTTCCTGGAAAGCACTAGGCCCTTTGCCTCACCTGACTTGCTGTTGCTGTACCTACTCCCTCTCTTTGGGACACGTCAACAGAAAGAGCTGTGGCGCTGGGATGAGGAAGGAGTGATGGCCTAGTGGATAACTGTCTTGCTTGCCCAGGGCATAGACCCAGAGCTGTCTTTATTTCCTAAATGGTTTGTCTGTAAACTTGCCCACATGGACACTGTATTCCTGCTACTGTCCCGCTCTTGGTCGCGCACTGCCACTGCATGGCCTCCTGTCACTGTGAATCGTGGCCTGGTCTCAGTTTGTAGTTTCTCATTAAATTGGCCCTTTCACTCCCCTGCCCTGGACCTCTCTGCTCTTGCCTGGTTTCCTTCTTTTCTGAGGGAGGGGGGCGGAGGCTACAGGTAGTGAGGAGGCAGGTAGGGGGTTGAGCCCAACTGCTTTGGGGAAACATTATGTAGACCTGCCCTGGGAACCCAGCTGTGACTAGGCCAGGGCAGAAACTGCCTTTGACAGTTTGAAAGTCACCTTTCTTTCTGATGCTGGCACCTTGGCATTCACCCTTGGGACCTGCAAATTGGAGTCTACCCATCCCAAGCTTGGGCTTGATGTCATCCTGCTCTGTAGCTCTTTTTCACTTGAGATAGAGCCACTGGGTTGAGACTAATGGTCTATAGGTTAGTAGGGTACAGCCTGAGCATCCAAATTCTGGAATAGCTCTGGCCTTGGCCTGTTAAATGTGAAGGTGGTAAGTTTCAGTCCGTAGTTTAAAAAGACTTTCACCACCATATAATCCTTTTTTAAATAAAACTTTTTACAAGTGGTAGATTCCTACTAATAAAAATATTTAACCTCACACTTATATTTAAGAGACAATGAATTGTTTTTATGTTTTTTTAAAGTAGGAAACCTTCAAAGTGTTTGAGTTAAAAAATTACAGGTCCAGATAACCATTAGGATTATCTGTGATAAAAGTGGTCACAAAAGTGGTCAAGAGAGAATGTCTTGGGGAATGGGTGCTAGGAGATGACCAACAGTGTCAGAGAAGTACATGAGGTCAGGAGAAGAATATAGTGGGTTTTCAGGACAAGAATGTCCACGTCCCCATATGGATACAATACCTATTTCCCAGTGGGTTATTAGGGTCTAGGAAATAGTTTTAGTGACCCCGTGCCAAGAAGGAAGAAACATACAGAGTGCATTTTATTGAATGCTATAGCATTTACACAGACCAGGGGAGGAAACAGCCCAGGCTTGCAAATCTTTGAGAGCTCTTGACTGAGAAGGAGCTCCCAGGGCCTCTGAGGTGGACAGGATCCTGGTTTCAGCCCACCCTCACCCCCAAGTCCCCAAGAGAAGCCGAGAAGTTGAGCAACACTGTTTAACCCCTCAACCCCACAGAACTCAGGCATACTGACTACTAGGGCTTACTCCCAACAGGGCAAGGACATATTTTCCCAAGTACTGTGAAGATAGAGAATGAAGGGAACACACCTAGGGCTCAAGGTGCAGAAGCCATGAAGCAGAGGTGGTTCTGGGTTTGCCCTACTGTGCCAGCTGCTGCCAGGGTGATATCCTGTATACTTGGTGTGCATCTGGCCTACAGAGAAGACGCTGTCAGGCAGAGCTAGCATCTAGCTTTTATTGGTTGCTTATTTTCTCAAACCCAGCATTTAAAAAAAGTCACCTGAGGCGGTAGTTTAGTGGGGTAGAATGGGGTAGGACAGAGGTCACTTGGGAGGACTCCAGCATGGCATGATGGGTCCTTCACATGTAGTACCAGGCCAAGAGTCCAGCAGCCAGGGCCACACCAGCAGCCAGAATGAACTGGAGACTGGGCTTCCTCAGCACAGTCATGGCTGTCCGGAAGGGGCAGCTGCTGCCCTCCAGGGCACCTGCATGTAGTGCAACAGGAGACAGGGCATCAGTGGGGGCCACTGACATGCCTGTCCCAGGAGGGAAGCATGGAATCCACAACCTACCTTTGTCTTGCTGAGCAGCATAGAAGGGGCATTTACGTACATCTCCCTTTCCGTCGTGCCCAGGGAGCCCATCCTCCAGGGTCTCTCTGGCCAAAGCAGAGCCAGCCTGGTCCAGTTCATTGAATATCTGAGGAGCACAGATAAACTGAGCCATCTTGGACTGTGCAGACTTTGCTTTTGGAGCTGATTTCCTCCCCACCTACCCCGTCCCAAATGGAGGTGGAGCAGGTGCACTTACTCAGCAGTGCCAACTAGATAATCTAGCAGCCCCGGTAGGTGGCAATACTACTGTACTTCTCCCTAATGGGAATCTGGGAAGTGTGGCCACATTTGCTGGTGGCACCCCAAGGCCGCCAATCATGATGGGTCTTCCCTGGGCACTGATCAAAACATACCCCATGCCACCTGCCCCTGAGGACACTGAACAGCGAAACTACCAGGCCACCAGTACTTCCCCATTTCTAGCTGCTAGTCATTTTTTAGCAAGGAACAGCAAAATGGAAATGAGAAGAGCCCACAGTAGGACAGACCCATCCTGGGAGTCCACAGTAGAGGGCTTCTGGGGACTGTTCAGCCTGGCTGATACTGAGGAATGACCACCTGTGGCTGGGGGCAGAATTAATCCTCAAGAGCTCAGCCCTAACCAAAGGCTACTTGTAAATAGTTATTCTCCTTCTTGATCCTTGGTGATAATCTGTCTCGAGCTGAATTTATCAAGCAAGACTTTTCATAGCAGTCCTTGCTAAAAAAGAAGGAAATTATCTATTCCTCAATTCTGGCATTGGCATCCTATGGTGAGATGGAAGAAGACAGCCCTACTGTTTCAACACCCTCTTCATGCTGGGGCCTTGCCCTTCCCAACACTTACCCACAAACCTCTACCAAGCCAGGTCTCCATGCCAGAAGCTATCCACTGGGCCCATGCCCTTTGGTGACCAATTTGGTTCCATTGCCTCTCTCCAGGGAAGATACTACAGTCTATCCTCTTGCCACTGATGCCCTCCCAGGAAGCTCTGAATTTGCCCCCACTATCAAAGTGTAACCTATGTACCCAGTAGTACCTGCATGTTGTACTCAAAGGCCTTGTTGGCCTCCTCCACAATCCTCTCTTTGGTCTTCAAATTCAGGTCCAGGGCATTCATCCTGGACCGGTAGAACTGTTTGAACTGCTGGGCATTGTCCACATGCTCAAACAGGTAGAACTGGGTCCCTTCCCCTGTGCTGGGGAGTTTCAGTGCCCGCTGGGCCACCTTCTTCAGCACCTGGCCTCCTGAGAGGTCCCCCATGTAGCGGGTGTATGCATGGGCCACCAACAGCTCTGGCTCATTCTGCCCTATATAGTGGATCCGCTCTACATACTTCTGGGCAGCCTCAGAGCACTTCACCAGCTCCTCCCAGTTTTCACCAAAGAAGTACTCCATGTCCTTGGTCAGTGCCTCCTTCCGGTGCAGCTCCGTGGGGAAGTACAAGGGGGCAAAGGCTGGGTGGTCCTTATTGCGGTCCATTTCCTCCTCAAGGGCTGAGTATGTGAAGTAAAGTGCAGTTGTAGCCAGCTGTGGGGGTGACAGGAGACCACAGGAAAAAACTGCAGGCCAAACTGGCAACTCCCAAAGCAACACCCCTTTCTAGTCCCAACACCCAAATGGGACCTATTTTTATATAGTGAATTAGTTAATACACCCAGGAAGCTTTTGTGTTTCTAAAGGGAAAAATATGGTGAAGTCTTTGAAACACATACTTTTTGCTTCCTTTACATTACTATGTTATTCCATTTAAGCCAGGAAAACCACAGCTTAACACTAAGAAAGACTGAACATGGAAAAAGACCCAGGTATTCCCTCAGACTAGTTCTGAGGGCACTCAAACCCATCCCCATAGGAAAGTCTGGAACCCAATCTTATTTGACTGAGGGCACAAACCTTAAACAGCTCCTTCTTAATGTTGCCTTTCAAGAAATCCTTGACAAACTGGGTGTTTTCTGCCCGGTCATGTGCTTCCTTGGTCCCTTCCTTGAGAAGCTCAGAGAGGTCAGCCATTCTGCAGAGATCAGATGTGTGTGTGACAGCCCTTCCTAATTCCCCAGAAAAGATCACAGAAAAAAGTCCAGATCCCAGGGCAACTACTTGCTGAACTGTAGGCAGAGGCTGCTCCAACACTTCTGCATAAACAGCAGGGGCCACAGGGCAAGCAGACAGTCTGCTCAGGAAACATATAGGTAGACTGTGGCCTCCACAAGACTCTAGGTCTAAGTGTCTTATGCTAGGAACCACCCAAATGAATGACGTTTTGATTCTGTGGCCACCTAGTGTCCAAAGAAATTCACACCTCTTATCCCACCAGTTTGCTGGCTTCTCCAAGAACATGCTCCCCTGTGGAAATATGGATCTTCTGAGGCAGCCCTGCTGCCTTCCTACCACCATGTGTCCAGTCTCTTTAGGACTATATGTGGCTCCATGCATAGGAGGATGAGAAGGAAACAACTGAGAGGCTGGGGCCAAGTGCTTGGATTTGTGTTTCTTAACAAAATCGCACAGGAAAACCAAACACAGTGGCACATGCCTATAAGTCCAGCTCCTTGGGAGGCTAAGGCAGGAGAATCAAGTTTGAGGCAGCCCAGGCAACTTCGAAAAACCTTGTCTCAAAATAAAAAAGGGGACTGGGGATATAACTCAGTTGGTAAAGTGCTTGCTAGCATGTACAAGACGACCATGGGTTTAATCCCCAGCACCACAAAAAAAAAAAAAAAAAAAGATAGATAGATAGCAGCAGAGGACAAGGGATATAGTCCAGTGGTAAATACTTGTCTAGTAATTGAGAGGCTCTGGGTTCAATCCGGAGCACCACATACACATACATACAAATCACATAGTAGAAATTGTGCTGATAGATGACAAGGTAGAAAATATGACCATAAAGATGATGGCATCTGGGCAGGGCTCACATATTCATGTATTAGAGTGAGAAAAACTTGGCCTGGGGGCTGGGATTGTGGCTCAGTGGTAGAGCGCTTGCCTAGCACTTGTGAGGCACTGGGTTTGATTCTCAGCACCACATTAAAGGTCCATCAACATCTTAAAAACAAAAAACAAACAAAAAAAAAACTTGGCCTTACAATTTCAAAGCCAGCCCCAGCAACTTAGCAACTAAAGCAACTTAGACTCGTTCTCTAAATAAAATACAAAAAAGGGCTGGGGATGTGACTAAATGGTTAAGCACCCCTGGGTTAAATTCCTGGATCCAAAAAGGGTGGGGATGGGCTGGGGATGTAGTTCAGTAGTAGGGTGCTTTCCTAACCTGTGAGGCCCTGGGTTCAATGCCTAATACTGGAGGGTTGGGGAAGCCAATGACAAGGCTCATCAGGGCTCTAACAAAGGGCTAAGAACAGTAAAGAGCAGAGCCCAGTAATTTAAGGCTCAGAAAGAACTTGTCCTAACAATAAGAAAAACCCTGCCTTAAAGAACAGTTAAGAGGTTCAAGTCCTAGGAGAGGAATACAAGTTCAGTAGAGTAGGCAAAGGGGACTGGAAACAGAAATGAATGTAACATAACTTTCCTAGGTACACACATGAATACTCACCACAGTGAATCTCACCATTATGTATATCCATAATTAATTAATTAAAAAAAACTATGGGTAAATGACAGAAAAATCAATAGAGGAAAAAAGTAAAGGGTGGGGAGAAACGAGAAGGAGAGGTACTGGGGTCAGAATTAGAACAAGCTATATTCCATGCTTGTAGAACTATAGTCAAAATGGATTCTAATGTCATGTATAACTAAAAAGAACCAACGGAGGCAGGGGTTGTGGCTCAATGGTACAGTGCTCACCTAGCACATGAAACACCAGGTTTGATCCTCAGCACCACATTAAAAAATGAAAT